CCATAATGTTGAACCAATTATCTCAAAGCTCACCTCATACTCAATTCAATCACAGATCCAACATCGTAATAAGTCACCTATATTATGTTGATTACATTATCCTATTTTCCAAAACCACTAAACCTGGAGTCAAGCTTACATATAAATGCCTTCTCAATTTTCAATCATGTTCAGAGCTGCACTTCAATACACATAAATACAATATTTTGTTCTGCCAAAGGGTGAAGAAAAATTTCGGACTCTATATAACTGGGTTCACTGTGTTTATTCCTTGCAATACTCCACCAAAATATCTTGGTGTTCAATTGCGTAAAGGAAGGGCCAAAAAAACTCAATTTGATGATATTCTTGCAAAAAATAATGAAAAACTGAGTTGTTGGACTAATTTCTTTCTTTCCAATGAGGGAAGATTTCTCTTTTAAGAAATGTTTTGTCTGTTTTCCCTTCTTATATCTTACAAATGGATTCAATGAAAAAAAAATACCCATCTCCTCATGGCGAGGCATTTTAACAGGTTTCTATGGTCTGGGCAAAGAAAGCAAGTCCGTTGAATTAGCTTGCAGAAGGTGTGCAAGCCTCTACATGCTGGGGGGTTGAGGTCTAAGAGCTTCCATCACATTAAACACATCAACTTTTGCAAACTATGGATCAAATTCATATCTCAAACATTCCCTTGGGCCAGATTTATGAAGGGAAAGTATTGTAGAGATCAACACCCCTCTCTGATATCCAAAAAAATGGGTGATTCAATAATATGGTCAAATATGCTAAAAGTTAAATCCAAGGCTGGAGATTTGTTCATTTGAGAATTGGAGGAAGGAGAGAACAACTTCCAACTGGATAACTAGACCCTTGAGGGGAAATTGGTAGGGTCACAACCAACACCTTCTAACCTGCATCTGAAGTTTTTTTATTGTTAGGATAATGGCAACTGGAATAATCAGGCACTGCAAAACATTTTGGACACTTCCCAACTAAGTAGGGTGTTGAAAATTCCTTTTGACACCTCTAAGAAGGACAGAATAATACTAAAAAAACAATTCTCAGAGCTTGTATGCATCCATTTATACTACATGTGTCCAACAGCAGAAAGTTATGTGGGGTATACTTATTTGGGGTGGTTTTTGTCTCCTTCGATGTCTTTTTTCCACTGGAGGTTGTTTTTAAACATGCTGCCAACAAATGAAATTCTAAAGCTCAAGGGATTAACAGGGCATTCCTAATGTGTGTTATGTAGACAGGAAGACGAGCATCTACAACACTTATTCTTTAGCTGCCCCTTTGTTCATTAAGTCTGGAACATTATTATTAACCACATCAATGTAAGTACAATTCAACTCTCTTGGCAACACTTCCATCAAAGTTCGCAGAACTGGCAGAAGGTAAATCTATCCCCAGTTCCCTGTATTGTGGCCTGGTTTTTTTGAATGGCTAGGAACCAACACAATTTTGAAGAGAAAATTCTTAATCCAAACATTGGTGCTAATAATTGTTCATTGCACCTGACCAAACTAAAAAACTTCCATACAATCTGTCCCAAGCTATGTTACAACAAGTTCCTGAGTCCAAGTACTTCTCAAGTTTACTGGCAAAGACCTTTTTATGGCTAGATAAAGGTAACACATATGGTAGCATTTTGAATTTTGATGTAGGCATTGGGGTGTATTCAAGGACATTCATTACAGGTGTTTACTGTATTTCCAGTCCCCAGCTCTTGCTATCGATGCTTTAGAGGCAGAAACCATTGCAATTCTTTGGCCCCTTCTCCTTACTATAAGAGGTAATTGTAAACAGCGACATATGGAATCAGACTCTCAAGTTTTGGTGAATATTCTGAAAAAATAGTTGGAGAGCCCTTGGCATCTATTACTTTGGATCAAACAAATCAATCACATGGCAACCAACATTACTACAAGGTACACTTATATACCCAGAGAAGGAAATAGACCGGTAAATTGGTTGGCCAAAGCAGGATTACACATTGAAAAAATTGTGCTTAGCAGAGTTTTGAATCCTTCTCTTTCTTTTCTTTTGAATGGAGACCATGTGGGTCTCCCTTTTATTAGATCCTTGTAATCCCTTTTTATTATCAATGACACCTCCTCATGCTCATAGATATACCTTGTATCTATGAATGCGAGGTTTTGCAATATACATATATATATATATATATATATATAAACACGTGTGTGTGTGTGTGTGTGTGTGTGTGTCTTTGGAATTAAATATATCAAGTTCACATTATTTTACATATATTTAATGGTTTTTTTAAGAAGGTAAGATCTCTTTTTGGCATGATCAGTGGGGATTGGGAGATCATAATTCATTTTCTCACACTCCTCAAAACAATAATTTACCTATCTCCGATGTTTGGAGTGATGATAATTGGGATATCAATAAATTGTTGTCTCTTGTTGGGGATAAAACGACTCATGTAGCTAAGATCCCTATAAAGATGACAAGTAAAGATACCCCACTTTGGAAAACCTCCTCTACTATTTCTCCCTCTAAAATGCTTTACTCTAATTTTTATAGCTTTGATAAGTGGCTGTGGGGGAAATTTATTTGGAACAATTTTCTTACTCCTTCCATCTCCTTCTTCCTTTGGAGATATCTTTTTAAGATGCTCCCTCTTGATGATATTCTAAAACTTAAGGGTCTCAACTTGCCTTCCCAATGTCATTTATGTAAATCTGAGGAGGAATCCGCGATGCATCTTTTTTTTTCATGTTCTTATGCTAAAGAGGTTTGGTATGCACTTGGGCAATACTTTCATATAAACTAGTATGATTGTATTGACATTGTCGAATTTCTCCGTATTTGGAGAATTACTGATATTGTGGATTCGAATTGGCTTCGTTCCTTATGTTGGTGATTTGGTTTATCTGGGTAGTCAGGAATGATCATAGGAATGATCATAAACATCTCATAAACATCACAATTTGGGTATGGTTCCATCTACCTCAGTTTCTCACATTCTTGCTTACTTTACCCGGGCTTGTCGTATTTTGGGCTTGTGTGATGATTCAGCCAATCCTAGGGTGGGTAGGATGACCATTCTCATTAGGCCACTCTCATTAGGTGGCAACAACCTCCCATTGGATGGATAAAAGTTAATTTTGATGTTAGTTGGGACTCCTCGGCGGCAGGGGCTGGTGGGGTTTTTCGTGACCACCTTGGGAAGTGCCTTTGTTTCTTTACTTCGCCGATTGTCGCTTCCTCTCCTTTAGAAGCTGAGTACTGGGGTTTTCTTTTCTCTCTTCAGGTAGCCATTTCTTGTAACTTTTCTCAATTGTTGTTTAAGACGAATTCTCTTACCATTTACAAGGATTTTGGTTTGACTAAAATGCTCAAGTGGAATGTTTTGGGGATTTGGAATAGAATCAAAACACTTATTGAAAAATCTAATTTGTCTATTGCTTTAAGTCATGTTTTGCGGGAAGGAAATTCTCCCACAGATTGGTTGGCCAGGAGGGGTAAAGTTTGGGTAACCTTATTGTCGATGTTTCGCCACCGCACGTTTAAAGAAGCATTTACAGGGTGACTCCTTGGATTTGCCTTTCATCAGGAGATAATGTTTTTATTTTGGTTTTGTCTTTGCTTTCTTGGAAATTTATGGCTTACAAGAAACTTTTGTTGGATTGTGTTTCCTCCCCTATGAAGGACTTATACACGTTATGCATGGCTAATCATTTACTAGAAATCCTTTTTTCTTTCTCGGTCTTTCTCGGTTTGGAGCTTACCCTTCTGGAAGATTGTGGTTTGCAAATTTTTTAGCATGTTTCGGTAGGAGGATTTTGGCCTCCATTATTTCTAGGTGCAGCTATGTTTGGATTGGAGCGCGTTCTTCATTGTTGTGGCCATATATATATATATATACCCTTCTAGTTTTCATCTTGTATATGCAGGTTTCTTTGTGCTTTATCGGGTCGATTCTGGATTTTGCTCAAACTACTTTGGATCGAGCCTTCAATCCCACCGGGATAGGATTTGCTGGAGCTGCTCTGATGTTTTCTTTCCTCTTTCCAAGATGTTCTGTTGGCTTTACTGTGGATCTTCCTCTGATTCTATTTAACATATCTCTTTTGGGTCACTTGTATTTTGAGCTTTACGTTTCCTTTTGTTTTTGCTTACTTTTTTACGTCGCATTGTACTGTGGATTTTGAAACCCATAGGTTGACGATCTACTTTATTTAGATGTTAGATAGGGATCCAATCCACTATCCCGCCCATATTTTGTAACTTTTTTTAAGTATTAACGCGTAAGGAACCTCGAGTCGCTCTTTTATCTAAAAAAAAAATGATTTTTTTTAATTAAAATCATCATTAAAATTATATGCTTAAAACAAAAATGCTATAATGTTTCAGCCTATTTTTCACTTTGATGAGTATTTAAATCACCATAAAACTCTGATGAAACGCAATCTTAATACAATCAAGTTAACATTGGGTGATAGATTATAAAAACAAAGGGATATCTCCACATAAGAGTAGAAAATTCATTCTTATAAGTGAATACAAATACACCCAGAACTATATAAATCAAACCTAATTAAACAACATTTAATCATTTATTAAAATATTTTTTAAAATACTTATTTTTTCATAATTTTATGATGCATAATTTTTAATTCATAATAATTTAAAAATACCAACTTAAATAAATCTAACAATTTAATGAATACAGCATAATTTTATTCAAAGGCTTGAAAATCTTGTATACTTTCTAAAATATTATTTACGTACTTAAAACCCCATTTTTTAGTACTCATAATAATAACAAAAAAAATTAATACTTTTAAAATTTTGAATTAATGAATTTTTAGATAAGAAATTTAACATAAAGCAAATGGGTCATTTATTTAACTTTTAAACAGTGAAATACACGTTTTCATACAAAAGGTGACAGGTAAAATTTGAGAAACTAACTTGCACCAACAAAGCTTAAAAGCACAAAAATACTAAACATTCACATCATAATCAGCACAAGGAATACAACATATGCCAAAATAAAAAATAAAAAGATAAAAATATAAATTCATTACACCTGATGAACAATCCATACCCATCAGACTATATCCACATATAAACTAACCAAACAACTGGACCAAGCTATAAATTCCAAAACATTAATTTACTAACACCAACTCCCTTATCAGAAAAACCTACAAACACTCATAAAAACACCTAAAAATCTCCTCCCTCTCTTTTTTTACTGATAACAATCAACAGACAAAACAATCATCATCATTTTCCTCACCAAAAAACTCATATCTGCTGAAATGCTTCACTCTGAATCTCCATTCTTCTTTACCTGCATCAAATGATATAAACTCAGCTCCCTGTTCCTCAGTCTTCTTCTTCAACATCTCTATATATCTCTCAACCTTCGGGCCTCCAGTATATCTCTGCCCAGTTTTCTTGTTGAAGCATTTGATGTCAAGAAGAGTCACTTCAGCCGGTTTGTTTAGCCCTTGACCGACGGACGGCTTTTTGCTCTCGTCGCTGTACACGACGACCTCACGATGGTTGAACTGAACAATGGACTCGAGATCAAGTCTCCTCACATCAGTTTCACCGAGGAATTTTATGCTGCCGTAGGCTTTGCGGCCGATGACGAAATCCTTCACGCGGCGACAAAAACCGGGCTCGGCACGTTCTTTGGCGGCGAGTTCGGGGATGCTTGGTTCGCAGAAGTAGTTGTCAAGGGAGAGTTTTGGCATTAGGGCTTCAATGTCTGCGCCGTGTTCATAAGAGATCGCAGCCTCGCTGGCTCGACGGCTCGAAATTGAGAAGTGGGAGTCTTTGGTTCTGTTGGCATGGTTGTCTTTAAGGCCATTTGGTTGTTGAGGGGGTTTGGATGGAGTTTGTTCTGCATGGCCATTCTCAGCTGGGCTTTCTGCAACATTGCATGGTGAGAATTATAAATAAGAAAAATGAAGAGTATATAATATCAAAATTGCAAATGAGAACATATGAGTATGAGATAGATAAGCTATAATAATTAGATGGAAGATTTACATGCATACCATTTAATTCCTTTCTAATTTTATATGTTAGTTTAATTCCTACGTATTTAGGTGTTATTTACCACAACTTCAATTTTTCCATATGTATGTCAAAAAGGTGCATCTCACTTTAAAGTTAAAATAGTGGTATTTTTATGTGATACTGGAAATTGGGGCGATATAAATGTAAAAAAACGAAACTAAATGTCTGATATGTAAATACATGGGGGGTTGTTTGGTTGAGAGATTAGCTAGGATTTAAGCTATAGATCATTTAAGGTTATATCCCAAAAAATTTACCAAATTTTAACCAGACTTAGCGTCCGAATATGCTGAATAATGGTCAAGATTGAGGTTTTGAGAATTTACTTAGAACTAAATTTACAAGATTTACTGAATACTATCTGCATTAAATCCGCGACCACAAATCAATTTGGGATTTTGAATTCTTAATACAATATATTCTTCCATATAGTTAATGAAAACAATCATGATCAATGGATGAAGCCCAGACGCACAAAACAAAATTATTATATATATATATATATAGCTCACCAAGAAGATCAGCTGTATAAGATTCATCAACAATGGGAGCAGATGGCACTGCATGAATTTTACCTGGAATATAGCATGAAATATCAGTAAACTTATATAAAGAATGATAATTTATACTGCAAATAAGGATTCATAAAGCTGACCCAAAATAGTTTGGGATAAGGCTAATGATATTGAACTTAAAAACTTTTTAGAAATGACAGAATGACACGATAATCAATTTAAATAAAATCCGTCAGCGCCTCGCAAGAAGAATGGGCATCCATGAATCAATATTTAGTAGTGGCAGATTATCTAAGTGTGCCTTCATAAAATTTATCAGCACAAAAAAAAATTCCATGAGTTACACTAGTTCCAACTCCCAACAACTTTGAACACAGTTTACCATCTTATCATCAAATCAAAACTCAAAGCATTATACATATCTATGGCATGCCATCAATACCAAAAATATTTTATAAAGTGTCAAAATAGTTCACTGACTATTTACATGGGGTCGTTTTAGTCTCATAGTCTATTAAAGTACCAAACTAATTCCTATACTTTCTAAATTGAGGCTAAAATAGTCCAGTGTGAATTATTTCAACCCATATTAAAAGACTCTTAGGGACTAAATTGACACTTTAAAATGATCCCTTGCAAAAAATCAGGGGACTATTTTAGCCTTTTTTCTTATATTTTACAATTGGAAAGACTTGCAAGAGATGCACCAATAAAACTAACTTGACTGCAGATTTGCTGAGTTTTTTAATGTGAGATTTAGCAAGAAGTTTACCCCTTGAAAGAGAATTTAACTTCCAATATATGGTTATTAATAATCTGTATTTCAAGTTTACACATTTAATCGTTCAGATTGCTCAAGTTTAAACTCTGCTTCAGATTGCACAAGTTTAAACTCTGCCAAGGCTCACAGGAGCTGTTTTTTTTTCATGAATGATAAATTGTTGGCAATATGAGATTTTTTTAGGGAAATTTAAAAATGCACCACACAATTCTTATGGATTTACATATTTAACACGAAAATTTTGATATTTATATTTATATCACCTCGGAGTGAAAAACCTATGCATAAAAAGGTACATTTCACTTTTTAAAAACCTAATAACAGTGGAATTTTTTTATGTTAAAAATTTGAGTATTATCAATAATAATATTAAAGTTTAGCTGTTAGATATGTAAATATATAAGAATTGTGCAGTATGCATACAAATACCCCAAGTTTTTAACTGAAATACTTGATAACCAAACTGCCTGGTAAGTACTTTATAGAAGTTACAGTCAAACTACACGCAATCAATAGTCAATACTATAAATGTCCACGAATGCAATATAAAATTGATTAAAAGAAAGAACACATTAACTCAAATGTTTAGCATTATCCTTAAATCATTAAGTAAATTAGAGAATACCATATATACTAGCTATCTAAAGCCTTTAGAAAACATCAATAATCAGAAGAAAAAAAAAAAATCCAACTTTACATATTAAAAAAGGGAAACTTACAGACATAACACACAGTTCTTATGTATTTGCATATCTCACCCCTAAACATTCATATCTACACGCATGAAATTTTGGCGCTTTAAACCTATGCATGAAAAGGTGCATTTGAGTTTTAAAAAAAGTGGTAAAAGTGCTATATTTGGTGTGATATTAAAGATTTGAGTGTTATGTGGGTTAACTATGAAAGTTTAGGTGTGAGACATGTAAATACATAGAATTGTATGTATGTATGTAAATGCCCCATTAAAAGAGAATGGAATTGACAGTGATATTGTTTTAATTGAAGTCCCTCAAAAGCATCACTAAGCTACTATAATTGCAGCTTGCACAACCTGCCAGTCATGAACAAGGACAAAAAGAACGACACATAAAATCAGAAATTTATAGATTACCATTGTCGCTAGATGAACCAACGATATTTTTTGACGCTGATTGTGTATTAACACCATTTGAAGAGGGCCATTGTTCAATTGGACGAATGATTAGTGCCCTTGGATTCTCCCTTGGGATAATTAGTGCATCTGCCTTTGGAGTCGTTGGAGCCACTTCATCATCACCGAAGAATGGTACCTGTGAAATAAGAAATTTTTATTAGCTCATACTTCTGCCCAAGAAAATCACATTGAGTTAACAATATGTAATAATCAAATAATCAGGAGGCAATTACATACATAACACTCAAAAACATTGCAATTTACAAACCTAGCACTCTCTAATCCATTTTTCAAATTCCTACTCAAATATCAAAATTCACCATAAAACGCAAATCCATGATTTCCATTTTTATCGAATTCTCAGTATTTTGAACAAGGAACGCGTAAATGCATCGGTTCAATAATTCAAAAGATCACCTGGGAGTTAGTTTTGTAAATAGCAAAGTTTCAAGTGTTGTCTACATAATTATTCAAATAATCAGTTGATTAAAATCGAGCAAGAGATCCCGATTTGTAGATTAAGAATAAGCAAACCCTTTGACTATCGCTTTTAGGTTGATATCTCCTGGCTGGCAACCGGATTCTTCTCTGTGATACATGTCTAGGAGCCACTAAAGAAGAATACCTTACTGGAGCTGGTTTGTCAGAAACCTGTAAAAACAAAATAAAATATCATGTCCATTTGAAATGTCATTTTTGGCACTAATATAAAACCATTTCTTAAAGCAAGCCAGATCAATCACTATATTTAGCTAGCAAAATTAGTGAAAGAAAAAATGGAAAAGTGTGAAAAGTTTCCTGACTCTTTGCAGGGGATCATTTTAGCCCTAGAACTTATAAAATTGTCAATTTAGTACCAAATCCTTTGAATATAAGATTAAATATCCCCACAAAGAACTATATCAACCCCAATTTAAAGAGTCTAGCAAGTAATTTGACACTTTATACACTCCATGTATATTGTCAGAGGATTATTTTGACACTTTACTCAAGAAAAAAAATACATAATACAAGAGCATAAACAGTGGTCACTAAATATAACTGGTAAGATTTCAAAAAACTTACAGGCATGCTGGAAATTCCATATTGAACTGATGGAGCAGAAGAGCCCACACGACCAATAGACATCTGAGGCATCACAGGAAGCGTTCCAAAAGGATTTGTTATGGACGTGGGTTGCATGACAATGTTAGCCTGAATAGCAGGGCTGCCACACAAGAAAGGCAAACAAGAAATTACCAGTCAAACTATCTATTAGAATATTAAAATATTTATTAATACAGAATTCTAACACTATCATATGAAAAATTCCTTTCGGGAGCATTCCCTGTAGAAATATCTTAGGGGTTTTATGTATATATATATATATATATACACCACAAAATTCTTGTGCATTTACGTAGCTAACATCTAAACAATAATTTTTACTAATGTAACACCCAAATCCTTAAATCATATAAAAAATCTCAGTAACATTAACTTTTCTAAACTGAAATAAACCTTTTCATCTGTATATTTGATATGATTGAGACATTAAAATGTGATACAAGTAGCTATCAAAATGCAGGTTTTATATAAGTACATACATAAGAATTGTATGGTATGTAAACCCCCAAATATCACTTCGAAAATTTCAAGTGGTTGTCATATTAACTTTTACCAGAGAAGTATTATATTTATTAGACTTGTTCCTTCAAGAAAATATTATCTATCATTGGCAGAGACGAGTCCAAAATAACTGAGATGAATATATGAAAACCAGCAGGATATTATCTACAGGCATTGTAACAGGGGATTCTCTAAATGAACTTTATCCAATTACACAGACAGCAACGTAAAAAAATATTGGATAAAAAGGATATATTGAGAGTAAATCTTAGACAGCAAAATTCCAATCTTAAGCAAAAAAAGTAACTTAAATAAAAGAAATTGCAAGCACAACATTTGTATTCTACAAATTGTTTGTTCATATGTTGCTACAATAAATGAAAATAGACATGCTAGTCCCAAAGGCCAATCTCCATGGAAAATGGCTAATAAACATGTGATGAAATTGTTTTCAGCTCCTAACTATAAAAAATGACCAAAAGAAAATGTGATTTTGATATTTACCTAACTAGAGGAAATCAATTTCCTCTAAAATATGGCAGAATGCACCATTTTCACCACAATAAAAATAATTCTATGGATAACCAGTGATACAGTGTACTTGAACTCCTGAAACCTCATTATGCAGACTGGCTACGTTTATACAATCCATATGACTGCTGCAAAAAGAATCCTTAAGCACCAACACATCCCATTTTATTACAAAAAAGTTATTGTTTTATTAAGCATAGCATATTTGTCTCCTTGTAGAGATATTCGAGGATCCTGCGATCTTCGAGTTTCAAAAAGTAAAGAAAAAAAAAATACTATGGAATTCCTCATGTACCATCGATTCTTTTTAGAACTGGACACTGAATGTTTAAGAAAAAAAAGGGAAATAAATGTATTTTAGAGTAGGCAGATGCTTCCAACAACTCTAAAGAAGCTAACAACTACCTAAATTTATCAAATTTCAAGATAACGTTCGGAATATTTGAATATATAATAGAAACATACCTCTGTCCAAAAGTTCCCTGATTAAAGGAGCTGGGGAAGCTACCAAACCCTCCAGAAGGAGCTGAAATGAAGATGGTAAATGTGAAATAATAAATTAACTGTATGTTCACGTATGACCTAAGTTACTATAAAAGGCACTTAAAATAAGGTTCACAAAGGAAATAAAAAATTACATTAATGATTTGGTTTACCTATTTGTGCCTGACCAAGGTTACCAAAAGAAAAGTTACTTGATGCTTGTGCAGGAGCAGACTGTTGAAAAGGAGTGGAAAAGGAGGGCTAGCAAGCAGAGGTACAGTGAAAAAACAATGTCAGTTAGTTCAATGAAAAGAAATATATATATATATATATATATTAATTATAACATAGTAGAAAAAAATTAAAGCAAAAGTTACATTCAGTTCAAAGAAATTATGGGAAATAAATGCTAAATTTCACTTACAGTCAGTTGACCAAATCCTGCAGGATTGCTCAATGAAGGTGTTGAACTGCTAAAGAGGCTTCCACCAAAGCCAGTTGATGGCGTGTTGAATAGACTTGAACCAAAAGCTGGTGCGCTCTGTTGAAAACCAGTAGACTGCCCAAAGGGAGAAGGCGTTTGACCAAGAGAAGCAGTTGAAGAAAACAACGCAGAAGACTGAGTGTTGCCAAAAGTTAGACCAGATCCAAAGGAAGAAGTGGATCCCACCATTGAGGAACCAAAAATAGAAGGAGACGAACCGAAAGCGGGAGCACTTCCACTGCCAAAAATAGAGGATGAACTGCTAGAGCCAAAACCAGACGAAGGCGCCCCAAATAATGAAGGGGTGGAAGATGTTGAGCCAAAGGGGCTTGTTGAGGATGATGAGAATGGTGAGCTGAAAAGTGAAGCTGATGATGATCCAAAACCAGTAGAACCAAAAGCTGGAGTTTTAGGAGCAAAAGGATTTGAAGAGATGGTGGATGAGAAAGGATTAGCAGCAGCCTGACCAAATGCACTAGTTTGACCAAAAACACTACTTTGACCAAATGGACTTGTCTGACCAAAAGCACTCGTTTGACTGAATGGGTTCGATTGTGTTGATGTTGGAAAACTTATTCCACTTGATTGTCCAGCAGGATTTGGACCACCTAAACAAAGTGATAGAAAATACAAAGTCATTTATAGTGAGCAAAATGCATCAGCAAATCATAAACAGTCAAGTACTAATAACAGGAGCATTGCTAGTACAAGGATCTCGATCAAAGGTGAATATATTATCTCTCAAACATATTAAACATATGTATTGATAAGTATAGTATCACAAAATGATGACAAATTCTATTGAGACAACTATACGTTAAAAATTAGAAAGTCCTCCAAATTCTACATAGACATATATTTTCAATTCTTAGAATTTGTTTGATGAAACATTTTAGCGGAGAACTATATACTCCTTTTTTTTTTTTTTTTGTAGTTTTCTTTCTGACTAAAGGTGATGTAATTTATGTCCACATTGACATGTTTGTGAATATGAAGCCTAAATTTTAAACATTACAAGGAAAGAAACAAGTTGATAAGTCATCTTCAGCTCTATTCCTTAACAACATCAAATTACGAGTGTAATGTACTTCACCAAGAACTAAATGTGGATGGATACAAACAACCTGTGTTACTTCATACATGGACATATTGCGCAGCGAGAAGACAAAGCAATTGCTAGTTTTCACCCAAAAAAAACAAAGCATATGAACCATAGGCAAACTACAAGACCTCAAGAACAGTAATGTATGAACTCTATGACATGACAAGTATTGAAGAAATTCAAATATCATTGCAGAATTTGTAGTATATGCACTTAAATACCCGAATATGTGCATGCTTACATCTATATAAGCCTTTAATTTTCTTGACTACTGCATCAAAAAATATTTCGTGCATGCAGTACAAATATTCTAATAGAAGAGATCATAAATAATGGTGCCAATATATGTTATGCGGTGAAGGCCAACATTACAAAAGAAAATTATGTACATGGATAGAATGCCAGATAAGGTGTGCAGGGGGAGAGAAAGCAGATGGATGTCAAAATATTGGGACTAGGAATAGGATGGGAAAAATTAGCCAATAAATCCATCTAAGTCATATCGAAGGTTGGAAATATTAAATAGGTAACCTTGACAAGAGCACTCTGGTAATAACCATATTCCTAGGAGGCATTCCAAGCATATCCTGGATCTTGCACTATCCACCAATTTTGTAAAAGAATAATGTAAAAGAATTATCATAATGATATGGTTATGCATCCTAAAAGATGCAATGCCATCTCATTTTTCGACAAAAAGGTTGAAAAGAAATGTGTCAATCTCATTAGGGGACAAAAAAAAACTTATGTTATGTATTGCTGTCAAAAAAAGTTTTCGTGTTCGCCTGACAATTAGCTCTAGTCAGACTAATTTTTTTATAAAGTTGTATGCTTAACAAACCAAGCCCAAACAAGGTCTTGTTTGTTCCTGCATGGTTTGATAATAACTTCATTATATTTATTTTAACATACAAAAATGCATATATATCCCTGTGTGCATGGGCACTTACAAAGATTGTGTATATTTGCACTGAGATAATTATATTTGCATGGACATCTACAAATATAAATGGTTGCAACTATATTCTATAGTTTATATAAGATGTTCAAATAGATTTTATGTTAATTGATAGTGTATTTGGCTCGATAAGATAATGAGAAAAACTTGCATAGAATTTTGAAATGTTTGCTTACTAAGCTAAGCCAAACAACACACGAGAGCTTGATTCATTTATACCACTGCTGGAAAGAGAACGGTAGTTAACAAACTACTATAATGGTAAACTTTAATGTTCGCATGTCTCAAACTTTTTTCTTTCCTATGCTCTTTATCCCTCAGTGTACCAAGAACATCTACATATTCCAAGCATCCTTTGCTATGTTCTTCCTCACCCACCATCCCAAAATAATCTAATAACATATCTTATATAAAATTCCAGTCGTGTTTACCTCAACTAAATTAATCCAAACATTTAAAATGTTTTGCTTGAGCAACAATTCTTTGATACTTTTTTGGTCTTTAGATTTATCAAACAAAAAAAAAAATCAAGAAAATCAAGTTGATCTAGGCTGAAAGCCTCCAAAAAAAAAAAATCTTGTATCAAAATTTTCATGGAAGTAATGTCACTAACACTTCCAAAAGGGTTTTCTTGAGCATGCCAAGCAACATGTCTAACACAAACACTGAAACAAGGAAAATGTTAAGAGGCATACCAATAACTTGAATGATTTTAATAAGAAAAAAAAAGAAAATGTGGGCACTGAGCTGACATACTTTTTTACACTCCTTGAACATAACACAAAAAATATTAAGTAAGTTGGGCTTAATCCATGCCATTGTTTCAACCAAAGTTTAATTTTCTTCCTTTCAAGATTCCAAGTCAATATATTTAACTTCTTATTAAAATGTTTCTTAAATATCATATCTTATACTTTATAAGCACTTTGAGTGAAAGATCAAGGTAGGTCATCCCATTCAACAATGGTAAACCAGTGGCATAAATGACTCGTACATATCAAAAACCTCCCTCCAATGCATCAAATGTATATTGGAAGCCTCCATCCACTCCATCAAAAGTTAATAAATTAAAAGTTTGCACAGAATGAGAAGAAATTAAAGATGTCATTGCATAAAAACTTTCCAATAACATGGAACTTAATATCTTCGTGTTCATAGCATTTAGACAATCTTTGGAAAATTTTTCATACCAAATGCGTGGCCTAAATTGCATATTGACATGAATATCTATATATCATTCAATTTTCCAATATTTTACTCATGAACGGTTAACTCAAAATAAAACTGATGAAGCTGAATTTACAAACAAACAAAAAAAATGTGATCATGTATTCAAAGAGCCCAACTTTGAGAAAAATATAAATCCTAGGCTAAATACATAACATAAAAACAAGAATGAACACAGTCACCCACCAAGTTCTTAAGGGAATACATAAAAAGAAGGAAAAGACTCGAGAGAGATTCGCTCAAGTATCCACAAGAAATATTGCACAACAAATATATCTTCGATGGATCAAGAAGAATGACAAAGATGAGGAACTTAGAAACTAAATAAATAAATAATTGTCGGATGCAATAGCAAGGAGTTCTAAAGAGAGAGTAAGAAGAAAATAAAGAAGCAAGTGGGGAACAAAGAATGTAGTAAAGTGCCAGGAAAAAAAAATATTCTTTTTCTCTTTTCATTCATCTTTGATTATTTTAGCAAATACAATTCAAACAATAGAAACTCATAAACGAGAGAAAATCCCAAAGCAACACTATATAATCATAAATGAAACAACTCTCACAAGAAAGCCACCTCCCTACCAACATAGGGCATGCAACAAGCTAACTGACGCTAGAGTTTAACTTTTGCCATACATCAACAACCTATATGTAAGCATTGAAATTTTCCCCTTCTCCACTCATTATTGCAATCCCCGCCGCCTTCCCAAATTGCTCGTCCCGAACTGACTTCCCCAATGCACGAGGGAGTGAGAAGAAAATAAAGCAAAAAGACAAGAAGCAAGTGAGGAACAAAGAATATAGTAAAGTGTCATTTGACCAAAATAAAGAAGAAAGAAATGTTCTTTTTCTCTTTTCATTCATCTTTGATTATTTGAGCAAATACAACGCAAACAATAGAAACTCATAAATGAGAGAAAATCCCAAAGCAACACTATATAAGCATAAATAAAACAACTCTCACAAGAAAGCCACCTCCTTACCAACATAGGGCTTGAAACAAGATAACTGAAGCTAGAGTCTAACTTTTGCCCATGTATGTAAGAACTGAAATTTTCCCCTTCTCCATTCATTAACGCAATCCCCGACGCCTTCCCGAATTGCTCATCCTGAACTGACTTCCCCAATGCACGATTCTTTCATTTTCTTCCTTGATTTGCTATTATTGTCTTTCCTTTTTTTATCGTTGTGTAACCACTCCTCTCAGCTATTTAGGAAGAATCAAAACCGAAGTCGGGGTATCACTCGCCTCTCGCTCGCCTCCTTTTATAGCCACTGAAACCACTGTCAACGTCCTTCCCCTCTCTTGATTGTGGTTCGCCCAAAGCCACTGCCCTAGTGACTGAACCCTTGTCATACAATAGTGATTAAAACTAGCCAGGAAAACAAAAACGGGATTGTGGCATACAGAGACCACCGAAGCTTCTATATTTCCCCTCCTTCGTTGAACCTTTGCGATACAATCTCAATTAGAGCTATTCAAGAAGGGAACAATGGGATCGTGGCATATCTAAACCACCGAAACTCCTATCTTTTTTCTCCTTCTAGCAACTTTGCAGCTCTGTCCTCCTTACCACAATAGTTGAGACCTATGGTGAGCTCACTCCTTGATTTCTACTTCTATTTCTTCCGATAATATTATTATCAAATTTAAAATCATTAAATTTATTATTTTACTTGGAAATATCATTAGGTTAGAATAATGTTAATTTCAAATCAATACCTATATCTAACCTAATAAATAATTAATCTTAATATATTTAATTGCATAAATGTTTGATTTTGAGGATGCTGATTTGTGCAGGATTTGTCATTCAACGTCGATTGCAATAATAAATTGAACGAGGCAATGAACTGCTCTTTATAATGGGATAAACGTACAATTCCTAGTTATAGGTGTTACACTTGCTATATTTATTATCCCTAACTAATTGTAGGTTTGTCATCCGTCCCCATTAAATTTCATATATTTGCACTAGATATCAATTTTGTTTATAATGAATTTCATGTGCATTAATCTTAATTTATTTCGGTAGAAACGCATGTTTAATTGCTGGAAATTCATGATTTTAGTATTTATTATTTCCTTTATAGCTTTGAAATTCAGTATTGCAGCTTCATAATTGTTTATAAATGTCGGTGGACATGTTGTAGTAATATTCTTGTGCTTTAATTAAGATTTATGAAATAAATAAGATATTATAATATTATTATGTCAGTATTAAACTATTTTGCTATGGCTAGTCGGATCGACAGGTCCTCAGAGAAATCAATAGATTTTCATAGGATTGGTAACTATATTTCTTTATTCCATGGTGTCATTG